CACCTAAGTGCCCAAAGATAGATGAGGAGATGAAGAAGATGTGTTGTAAACACAATTGAATTCTACTCAGCCGTAAAAAAAGATGAACTCTTGCCAACTGCAAAATCTTCATGGAACTGGAAGGAATTATGCTAAGTGAAATAAGAAGGAAAAAGAAAAATACAAGATGCTCTCACTCATAATTGGAATATAGAGAAGCAAAATAAAGGACAAAGAAAAAACTAAGCCAAAATAAATCCTAGAAATTTTACTGTAGAATTGAAGCTACCAGGCCGGGGGGTGGGGGGGAGGCATGAAGCAAAGAGGAACTGGGTCCAATGTGCCTATGGTGGAGCACTCTGGGTGCCTTAGTGGTGGTGTGGTAATACACACCCGAAGAGGTGCGAGCCTATACCTCCAAACCATATAGAGAGCTTAACATTACCTCAAAAACAAAAAAACCCAAAAAAAACCAACTAACAACAACAACAACAACAGTATTTTAAGAAATCCCCCAGACAGCTATCATCAAGACTATCCTGCTATGGCTCTATGCGGTGTGGCCCCAAGGTTTGGGTTTATATCAACTGAATCTGAGATCTGATTAGTGTTACAACTGCATGGGCAGCTCCTTAACCTGGATTGTTATGTATCTGATACTGAGATCAGAGTGAATTCCTCATTTAGATTGACTGTGATCTTTTTATCTTCCTGTTGTGCTCATTTCATCCATGCTTTTCCCCAAATAGTGTAAACATGAGTTGGTATATGCAGCACAAATCTCAACACTTCATGGAAGACAATAGCCTAAAACTTCTCTAACTTCACTTCTTATCATTAACTATTTCACATGAAAACAAGGGGTAAGAAAAAAAGTCAAGTGTTTCTAACAAACACAATTAGCTTCTTAATTCTCTCCTGTAACATAAAACTGAAATAGTTTTCAAGCCGAAGCACCAATTAACAGGGTTTGTCATGGAAAGAACATTCACGGAGCAAAACTTAATACCACAGATTTGCGTAATGGCTTGCTGGCATGTTGGTTCTTTTTCCCCTGATTCTTTGCCTATGTTAAATGCTTTAAAAGGGTGTAGGCAAGTGTTCTTGTCAGCAGGGACTTGGCAACTAAGGTCTCCTTCCTGGACCCCCTGTGCCTTGCTTCAGTCTTAAGACACAGAGACAGTCAGCCACCCAGGCAATGTTTTGTGAATCTGATGCTATCAAAAGGAGGGCATTAAATTAGGGGGAACTGGAGTCTGTCTTTTTCAGAACACACCATGTTGCCAGCAGGAGTTTCTGAGACAAGATGAAGTAGAAGTCTGCTTATGTGATTTTATTATTTTTTCAGCTGACTTGGCCTCTGAGGATACACAGGAGGTGAGAGGGGATAAAAATGATCCAATTGCCCACGAGTAAAAACATTGCTCCCCTGTCTCTTAGTATGCCACTAAGGAATGGGAGAAAAATATTTTCATGAAGTAATAATTGCCTCTTGAATAAACTTCCATTTTAACAGTAAAAAAAAAAAAAATCAGTCTATGCCAAGTATAAGTGAAAATATGCATGGAATTGTGATAGAAAAATGTATATTCAGCATGAGGTTAGAGAGATACCAGCTGTGTTTTCTGCAATTCCACTATCAAAACAGGAAGATAAAATACCAAATATAGTAGACTATGAATTACATGTATGGACAGATAGGACTTCAAATGCATGCCTAGTTCTGTTGGGGGGAAAGGATGTCCTGAAAATCTCCATTAATAGGTTTTATGGACCCACTGCCACCCCAGACCAAAGAGGTCCAAGACACCAAAGACTACAAATCCCATAATGCCATCACCACCAAAGGGAGGACTGCTGGGAACTGAGGGTGGAGTTAAGCAGCCAGGTCTGGGCTATGACCAGACATGTGGGCCTTGGGGGTCCTTTGGTTTTTTGCGAGCTTTCAGCATGCTATTGGGATTCCAGCTCAGCAGAAATGGTAGGACACATTCACCAATTTCTCTCTTTCTCCCTGAGTTATTCATTTCGTTTCCCCTTTTTATAAATAAGCCTTTATTTGCCTTTTTGAGTGTGCCTGCAGTTCAGTCTCATTGTAAGCCCCTTTTAAGAACGCGGGTAAGGACCCATAGTCAGGGACCCATTTCACATTGGAGTTATCCTCTAACAGTTCCAGGGCACTTTATATACATCACCTAATCCCTCACTGTGCATGGAAGGTACTACTTTCTATATTAACAAATGAAAAACTAAGACTTAAAGTTAATTGTTTGCCAAGGTCACACAGGTAATAAGAGGTTGAAGGCTCCAACCCTATCCTATGAGGTATCAAATTACGAGCTCTTTCCACAATTCTTCCAAAATGCATGTTATTGGTGAGGTGGAATGTGTATGCGGCTACATGCCAGGGAATTCTGGGGCAGATGAAAGAATAGGCCTAGTTTTGCTCTGGAGGGCATGGTAGACACAGATGTGTAAGCAAGTGCAGCAAGACTGCTGTGAGGAGCGCTGTTGTCAGATGATGTCGGACCTTGGGGGGAGCCATCAGGATTCTGGGGACACTAAGTAGAGGAGAAAAACAGCCAAAGATGTGCAAACTTCCACATAGCAAACTGAGCATGTTGAGCACAAGCAGGTGAGAAGGAGGGGGGCACAGTGAAGAGCAGACACAGTATTCTGGGGAAATGGGAGAAATGGATTATTCATGTTTCTGTATAATAGTTCTCCATAAGGTCATCACATCCCACACAATAAAATGGCTTTTGGAACAGGAATAATAAAAACTACTAACAGCATAAAAGATACAGTGGTAGGAAAGAGGGATCCATTGGGAGACTTGTAAGTATCTCAATGAGAAATGACTGAGGACAGAATTAAGACTTGGGAATGACAGTGTGGTCCTTGTCCTGGAATCAAGACAGGTGCCATCACCCAAGATGACCCTCCAGGCTGAGGAACAGTTTTGGTGACTAACAAAGGCTGTGGACGGGAGATGTGTATATTGGAGGACACTTGGCGGATGGTGTCATTGACCCAGAGCTGGCTTGAAGGACCTCTACTCCCGAGTGGTCCATGTTCTGGTCTGGCTAGGGACTGTGGAATGTTTGAGTCCTGCCTCACTATTTCCCAGTCTCAGAAGCGAGATGAACTGAGTGGTTTTGGGAACAGATTTGAGTAATCTGAGGCAGCCTGGAAACACTCAGCTCTCACACCAGTGAGGTTCCCAGGGATGCCTGGCAGAGGAGGCTACTCATATCTGGAAGAAATGGGAAGCCTCAGAAGCATTTAAGAACCTGTACCTTTAAAACCAAGGTTTCCTGCTAGGATTTGCCTTCTGGGTTACAAATGCCCTCCAGGGCTCACCTTCCTGCCTTCTAGCACCTCCATTTTCTCTTCTCTCCCTGTAAACCCAGGGTTGGATAAATTACAAAGAACTGTTTTCTTCAGTTTTTAAAAATGAGACAACACATGGCTGGAGCCTGTCATCCCCACCCCTGTCACCAGAGGGCACCAGGTCCACATAAAATATCTAGGTGTCAACATCAACAAACATTCAAATCCAGCAAAATGTATCATGGGAAATGATTTGTAATAAGATAGCTTCCTCGTGACCTTTGCTTATGAACTTCCTTTCTGCTACCAAGTAAACGAACTTGCTCACTTTGACTTTAACAATGTTTCCAGAATTCTTTCAGAAATCTAGCAAGTTGAAGAGAAGAACAGTAACGTTTGTCACAATATTATATGACTACCTAATCTTTGCTACCATTTTTGTGGCTTTTACTGGGGGGTCAGATAATGTGTAAGACCTTACATAAATTTTGCACATTTTATTTCAGATCCTGAAACAAATCATAATGGTTGCTATGGTCTCCTAAACGGCAAAACTGAAAAAAAACTCACCACAGTATATTACTCTGTTGTCTGTATGGAGACTCTGTACAGGTGTCTCTATAAAACCTCCAAGTTAAGCTTTGGATTGAAAGTTTAGAAAGATATACTGCTCAGACATTCTGTTTATGTAACTCCACACGGGAACGCAGAGACACGGTGTTATAAAGAAGCTGCCAACACTCTAGTTTCCACTGGCGTGGCCTCAGGGGGCTGACCCTCTGTGCCAAGCCTTGCCTGAGTTTATACCAGCACAACTTGGCGCATAGTTTCTCATCTGTGATGTTTCCCCTAATACATAGTCTTGTCCTTTAACAAAGGGGGGAAAAAGCAACGAGCATTTGCCACAGAATTTAATTCTTCTGAGTGTTGCCAGGCACTCTGTAGTGATTAGAATATTGGGACTCTGACTACCCCAGGCATGTCCCAAATCAGGCCAGCTATAACTGGCACCTGAGGAGACATCACATTTCAGGGTGTGGGAGCGAGTGCATTTCTGAGTGGTGTCAGGCAGGATCTTTGATCTGTGTGCTTTGTGCTGTGTAATCTAAAAACGGAATTAATCCACTGGCTCCACACCAGACGGTGTGAGGCTTGATTGCTGAGCTTAATTAACCCAGGAGGAGGGAATTAGCCCAAACAGAAGGTAAAAGAAAGACTATGAGAATGTGAGGTGCCTCAGTTTCCTCCTCCCCAGAGGATAAAATAGTCCCTTCTTAGAAACCTTTTTACCCTGGGAACCTGTGCATCTTCTCCAGGCCCGGGGCCAGGCGGTGGAACAGAGTTTATTTCCGTGTGAGCTGGAGGACAACAGGTTAATGTCACATTTAGAGAAACGACAGAGTGCCTGTCATTTGGGGTGGATTTTGTATCAGTTCAGTAACCGTATGAAGGAAACCATTAATTCCTCTTTTGTAGAGGAAGAAATGGGGCTACACTGATTTTAAGAACTTGCCAAGGACCTGCTGTTCACTTAAAGAGGTAACAGGGTAACAAATGACAGCCACCATCAGCCACACGCATAGCCTGGATCAAGTGCCACTTCTCATCCTTAGAACACGGCGAGGGAGACATCAGCACACCCATTTTGTACAATAGAAACCAAGGCTGAAAAAGATTCGGTCACTTACCCAGATGCGCCCCATCTCCATCTCTTCTGACTCTCCGACCTGTTGGCCCCCTGCAGGCGCTGACACACCATGTCCTTGGATTTGCTGCTTCCTTCTAGAATTAAAAAAAAAACAAAAACAAACAAAATAAGCACACTCATATGCAACTCCTGGAAAAACTGTTCAAATCAGATTGCTAAGACTGCATGTCCCAAGTATCTGCCCCATAACAGCCTTATGCTTCTCTCAAGGGGTCTGGTGGTCAAACACACTTGGGAAAATGCAACTTTCTGTACCTTGCTCTTCAGAGTGCTAACCTTACCTGAATGGCTCTGAGAAATCCTGGAATGCAGAAGAAACTGGGCATCAAGGACAGCCCCTTTTATTATGGGGACTTAAGCCTCAGCGCCCTCACCTGTGAAGTGAGGTAATAGGTCGTAGCAATCGAGTGGGTTCTACATAAGCTATTATTGCTTCCACTACCTCCACCTGTAAATGAGGTTTGGCGCAAGGGCACACTGGGGTGAAGGGGAGGCATCTGCAGCCCCATTCAGTGTTGTGGGCCAAACTTCCAGAGTCCGCTTGGCACCAGAGGAAGTTTGTTTGGGGAAAAGATGGGTGCTGTCAGTCGGACTGCTGTGGACAGAGCTCTGCTTAACCTTCCTGTGTCTTAGTTTCCTTCTCCTCACGTAGGAGAGGATTTGTGAGGATTAAAGGAGGAAAGAACTCAACAGGTTTGAATTGTTATTGTCATTAGAAGGTCAAGGGAGAACACCTGTGAACAGGTGCGTGTGACACCACCCAGGAGAAAATAACTATCTCAAGGGCTTCTCAAGAGTTTTTAACTCTTTGGGAAAGAGTAAAACTCCGCCCACTTGAAAGTGTTTTTCTGTTGTTTTGTTTTTTACCAAAAACATGTTTGAAGGGTAATCTTCTCATTCTTTCTTGAGCAAAAGTGTGATGAAATAATAGAGGAGGAAGCCGACTGGTGTGGAAAAACATGAAGAGTGAAGGAAATCTCAGAAACAGAGACCTGCTCAGAACAGCAAGTCTGGGAGGTGACAGTGGACCCCCTACACTGGAAGGACACAGGCTGCCTGCACAGGACAGGGGTATCAAGGTGAAGATGGGTGTATGTAGGGACATTGTCTATTAATTTCTCAAGACTCCGTGTAGTACTTTAAATAAATTCTAACTGGTTCCATCTGAGTAACTGTCATTCCATAGATGTTTAATCCAATGGAATTTCTTCAGAAACATACTGAGCAGTTGCAGGCTCTTCCTCTATTCCTCAGGCCAGATTCCCTCCCTCTGCCTCTGCCCTGTGTAGGACGGAGCACAAAGGTTTATAGGCCACGAGCCAGGGAGAGCTGAGTTGGACAGGGGGTGAGGGCAGTGAGGTGGCAGATGAGTAAGTTCGGGAAGGTCAGAGAAGAACTTTTGGAAGAGCAAAGTAGCTTGTTTTCTCAAGCCTACTTAAGCTGTGCTTTATTCCCAGAGGCTAATCAAGTCCTTTAAGAGAAGGAGGTAGGGAGTGAAGGGAGAGGGGGAGAGAGAGAGAGAGAGAGAGAGAGAGAGAGTACCTATAAAGCTTTGCATACAGATTAACGAAAAGAAATAACAGGTATTTACGTCTGTACATTTTTACATCAAAAATAGAAAATGTTTTTAAATCACACAGGTGAGGTGCTTTTAAGACATGATTGATACCTTAAGTCACTGGAGGACTTTAACACCTTAAAACAATGCACTTAATAAATTGCTTTTGTAACATTAAAACAAATTTCTACTAAAAATGACTTCACTGGAAGCAAGACTGGAATTTTTGGATTAAGGCAGGAGAAAGAGTCCTTATGGATGCAGAAAAATAGATGGAAAATTCTTGTGATTAAAGTTGGTGCTCACTAAATACTAGTATCTTTCTCTTTTCCTTCTTCTCATAAAACAGGTCTGAATAAAAATCAAAGGTAGGCAGAAGGGAATGAGAAGAAAAAAAAAATTCCCTCTAAAGACTGTGCCAACTAAGACACAGAAGAAATGGGTGTGTTTAAATATTGATGATGATATTGATGGATGTTCCAAGGAGTTTTCACTTCCTGTGAGTAAAATCTCATGGTATACAAGTCTTGTTAAAAAGTCAGACTTTATCATGAATTTACTGTATAACACAAGTTTCAGGGCTTAGAGAGATATGATAAGATTGGACATTTCCTTATCTGTTTATTTTATTTTAATTATTTTTTTTATTGAGGTAATGGACTACAACACTGCACTGTAGGTGATTTAGGGGTATAGGTTCATACCTCCTCGGCTATAAGGTACCACATTATGCCCACCAGCAAAACACCAGTAATCCTCTACCACAGTCCATTCACCCTGTCTCTCCTACGCACCCCACCCTGAGGCCACTTCTGATAGCCTCTGAGTGTTTGTTTTAAAGGAAAAGAATTCCTTTTAGCAGTACTTGTGAACTGTACTTTTAAAAACTAACCTTTCAGATCAGGCTGTGATTGCCTTGTTGACCTTGGTTGGACTGTATAATTCTCTTGAGCCATAGCGTGAATAGATTTCTTTGTCTGCCCAGTCTTCCTCCAAGCCAAGCTGGCCTGTGTTTTGTTTTGGCATATCCATGAGCACACCACAGACTGGTAGGTCTTGATTTACAGATATGCAGAAATAGATGTGATTTCCTTTCCAGGAAAGGGGCATGATGTGCATTAATTTATACACATGAGGCTCTTTGAGAAGCTTGGATTGTGGCTCTGACCTGGTGAAAGTGTGCCCTGCAGCAGGGTGCATTGTCCCCCAGAGCTCACCACTAGACAGGAAACCTGGAAAGATGTCAAGACACAGAGGTGGCAGAGCTTGACCAAGACAATAGACTTGGGGGGCAAGAACCTAAAGATGTCACTGTAAAGCTTTCATAAATTCTACATGGACCCAAATTTTATTTCTATGGATCTGGTTTTCTCTATTCTAGGCATGTTTGGAGGGGAGGGCATGGGTGGTCCCTTTGCCTGGAAACACCGAACCTATATTTTTTTCTGACATGGTGATTTTCTATCAGGTAAGATCTCTATAATAAATGAGGCTGGGCCTCCCTGGTGGCACAAGGGGTTAAGCACAGCACTGTGAAGCTATTAGCAGCCTCTGTAACACAAGTTGAATCCCGGGGGTGGGGGGGCGGGAACTACCCAGATGGCATAGCAGACCTCTCCTGTCTCGCATGCTGCTCCCCTCAGCAGTGTATTTCACTCAGTCTGCCTGTCCTGTTCCCCACTCTGTCTCTGGTGAATCCTCTCATCCCCCGCACCTCTGGCCTACATCGCAGTTCTTGTATGCATAAATAAATCTTTTTAAAAACTAAATAAATAAATGAGGTTGACTTGGCCCTATAAGTGCATGTCCCTTTTCCAATTGTGAACGTGGTTTTTTTTCATCTTAGAAGCAACAGCTACATGTTAACTACTCCGAAAGTTCAATGCTTACTTTTTGGTTAAGGGAACTTTAGTGAGTTTAGCAAACAGATAAATAGATCTCACTTTTACGCATGAGGACACTCCACTGCTAGGAGGCCACTCAGTTTGATGATAGTGCCAGAAAGGTCATGGCTGCCTCAGTTTCCAGGCTGCTGGCTAGCCTTTGTACAGAGGAAAATTGATGCAGGGTCACCACTGGAGCCTCAAAGCCCAGGAAATATCTGTGTAGCTCAGAGGGGGCATCAGAGAAAGGTGTCCTTTGCAGCTTTTCCAGCCCCATTCTACACATTTGTCCTTTGTTCCCTCACAACCCAGAGAGACAAAGAACGCCTCTGTCCTTTGTTTGGTTGGCTGCTCCTTTGTGGCACTCTCTGCTCCCTTTTGCATCCTACACTCCAAGAAGACAGTTCCTGAGACCGGAAGGTGGTAAAAGAAACACTTCAAGTAGTAAAAACCAATGTCCAGGAAGAATCTTTCTACCAGGTTAAAACAAACGAACAATCCAGGCCTCTGATCTCTGCATCTGGATTGGGAACAGCTGAGGGAGAAGAATCAGGGAGTCTCTGAGCAGCTGTCAGCAGACCAGAGGCTTGGGCATGTCACTGAGATGGGGGAGGTTGGATACAGAAAGGGGTTAGGACAACTCTTGCTTTCTTTTGTACCAGTGAATCCATGCTCTCCCCCACCCTGCCCTTATATTATCTCTCATTGTCTCCCTTTTCTTTGTCATTTTTTTTAACCCTCCACTCAAAATTCTCAACTTCTCTGACTGTTCATCCTCCTAGAAAATTGCCTCCAGTCTCAACTTTACGGTGTTCTGCCTTCTGTTTATCACGGCAATAATAAAATGGCTACCACATGCTTTTTTTTTAATCTCACTCAAGTATCCCAGCACCTGTGGACGTGATGGGTGAATCAGGATAGGCTAATTGTTGCATTGAACAGTTCCAGAATTGCTGCAAGAATCTTTCTTGCTCTCAGGCAGAGCCTGGAGCCTGTGATCCCAGATGGCAGCTCTCCTAGGAGGTTTGCCTTGATGCAGTGAGCCCAGGAATCTGAGCTCCTTTATGCACTTCAACTGTTTTGAGGTCTTCTGTGTAAAAGGCAGAGGGTGTGTGTGTGCTGGATCATGGTGCTTTTTTAGGGCCAGATCTCTGGGGGGCATCCCACATTCTATTGGTCACAGATTGATACACAATATCTTCTATCAGCAGATGCTATCATCTCCTCCAAGAAAAGGAATTGAGGCTCAAAGATTCAGGGCTATCAGCTAACATATAGCAGAAACAGATTCCTACTGCATAAATCTAACTCCGGAAACTACATTCTTAAGCTTGTACTCTGCTTTCTCGGACTGTCTCTCAGTAAAAAAGTATTCCCTTTTTTGTTGTGCTGTTACTTTGCCTTCTGCAAATATTTGTCCCCTGCTGCACCTGTTGTATCAGACCAGGATGGCCCAGAGAGAAGCAAACCTCCTTTTTATATCTGCACCCTCAGTAAATAACACCGTGTCTGGGACATAGTGGGGCTCAAGGAAAGTTTGATAAATGAACGTTAGCTGTGATTTGTTTCTGGGGTCACAGGAGGGCACCCAAAGTACTTTGGAGTGGTTGCATTGCAATTTTTCTAGATTACA